ACGGCCTCCCCGCGCCCCTTCTGCCAGCAGCCCCAGCAGCCGGGCGCGGCGGGCGGCGGGGAGGGCTGGGCCTCCGGCGGGGGCTCGGGGTCCCGCGCCCCGTCCAGCCGGACGCGGGTGCGCCTCTGGATGTTCAGGTAGATGCTGAGGTTGAAGAAGGTGACGCTGAGGAAGGGCGTGAAGAACTCGAGTGTGGAGGCCGTGATGAGGAAGTACCAGTTGTAGAAGAACTCGGCGTAGCAGTGGCCCTCCGGGATGGAGCTGCCGCCGGACAGGTACTCCCAGCTCAGGATGGCCGGCCCGTACAGGAGGAAGGCCAGCACCCACACCATCACCATCTTCTGCACCGCCCGCCGCGTGTCGCCCTGCTGGGCCCGGTAGGAGACCTGCCCGGGACACGCTGGGTCAGGAGGGAAGGGGCCCGGGCAGCAGCAACAGGGGACTGGGAGCTCCCCCAACACCCCGCGCCGCGCCCCCCCGCCCCCCGCCGCCGCAGCCTCTGGGCCTCTGCGCCGTGGCCTCCCTCCCCTCCCCCGCTCCCCACGTGGGTCTGGCCGGCTGAGGCCCCAGCACACTCTCCCGCGGTCATGCAACCTCCCTCAGATCGGCCCCAGACGCTAACTTCATGCCAGGCTGCTTGTGTGCTACCCCTGCTGGCCGTGGGCACCCGGGGGGTGGGGGAGGTCCTGTCACCCCCCCCTGCCCACCGAGCGCCCCCCGTGCCGAGCTCCGTGCCCCCAGCACCTGCTGGGTGTCTCGTGCAATCTTCACGGTGGAAGTCGTCCTCCCTTCCCTGGTGGCTCAGGGAGAGAGGCGGGGGCCACAGGTGGATTGGCTCAAGGGGACCCTGAGCCCCTGCTCTGCACGGTCTCCTGGCCTCTCCAGGCGGGGACACGTGGGGCCCCCAGCAGAGGGCGCTCAGAGTGACTGGCAGAGTCATCTCAAAGAAGAGGGCCAACCGGGACTCCGGCTGCTGCCCCTGTGCCCGCCTGGCCCTGATGCAGGAAGCCCAGGCCACCCAGCGTCCCTGGCTCACGGTGACTACTCACACCAGGAAAAGCTCGTGGAGCCAGAAGCTGATGACTGACTTCCGGGGGCACACTCGTGCACACATGCACGCACGCTTGTGCGCGCGCGCACACACACACACACACACACACACACACGAGCGCACGGTGGGGAGGGTACCACCGACGACCTCTGGCCCAGATCCTCCCTCAGCCCTCCAGACTTTGCACCTGCTCCAGGGCGGAGGCTGAATTGCCCCTGTTCCTTCAGGAACACCCGATGCCGGGTCCAGACGTGCCTCCTGCCTGTCCCAGGACCCGTCCCACTGGCAGCAAATGGCTACTGAGTGGGCGGCTGGCCATAGAGTACGCAGTGTGTCCGGGGTGAGGCCAGCAGAGACCAAGCCCACCCGGTACTGCCCACAACTTGGAAGTGGCCATCCTCTGCTGTGGCCACTTCCTGACCACCCCCCTCCCAGGAGCGAACATGGGGCACCGGCTTCCCAGACTCACAGCGCGGGTGACTGACAGGAAGCGGTCATAGCTGATGAGCACGATATTGAAAACGGACGAGGTGCAGAGTAGGTAGTCCACCACCAGCCACAGCTTGCAGAGACCACGGCTAAAGGGCCAGCGGCCAGTCAGCACATAGGGCACATATAGTGGGATGCAGAAGGCCCCTGTAGGAGAGAGAGTAGGGCCACGGTGGGCCGTGGCTGGACAGGGGCCTGGGGTCAAACCCACCCCAGTGGAGAGACAGGCAGGACCTGGGGGTGGCGCAACGGCCGCTTTCCTGGGACCGGCAACCCTGACCTTGCCCTTGCCTCCACCGTGTCTCTTAGGCACACCCTCTACCCTGCGACTGGCCTTCAGCCCCTGCCTAGCTTCCAGTCCCGCTGGCGTCCCCTGGACTTGGAGGTAGGAGGGAAGATCTAGGGGTGGGGACCTCCGGGCACGATGAGACCCCTCCCCCCCAAGCCTTGATTCGGTACGTCCACATTTCTGTGCAGTCCTCCCAGGCCCCAAAGGGAGGCAGGAAAATTTCCTCCCTCCTCTTCCACCTGCTGGACCCCAGCCCCTAACCCAGCCTTTGGACAGCCCTTCCTCCTCAGCTCAGAAAGAGAGAACGCCTTTCTCCCGACCCAAAGGGCATTTGGCTGCCACCACGCCAGCCGCTCCCACGGCCCAGGGTCTGGCAGACGCACTTAGCAGCCCCAACAGGTGTCTGGCGCTCGGGCCCCCTCTGCGCGCCCCGCCCCCAAGCCGGCAGCAGTGCACGCACACGTGAGAGCGCGCTCCTCCGAGCATCTCCCCCACCCCCACCCCGCTTCCCCCACGCCCCCCTCCCCCAACACGGCTCTAAAAACTCCCTTCCATGTCCCCTCCCCCAAACCTCTCCCAGCGCCCTCCGCACGTCCTGAGTCCGCCAGCAGCCTTTGTTTGGCTACGGCGCAGGAGCCAGCGGTGCACTCGCGGCCGCTGCGCCTTGCGCCTGGCCAAGCGCCCGCCCGCCCGCCGGGGCCCCTTCCCGAGGAACATCCCCCCCCACCCCCCAGCCCCGGTCTCGGGGGGGGGGGCGGGGGGGAGGCAAGGAACTTCGCCCGCGCCCCCCGCCCTCCCCCGGGTCCCGGACGCCCCCTCCCCAAACAGGGCTCCCTGGCGGGGCCGTGTGCCCGAACAGAAAGGCGCCCTAGGTCCACGCTCCAATCCCTGCTGGCCGGGCCAGGCTGGACACTCCTGGGCTCGGGCGGGGGCTGGGGGCTTTACCCACGAGGAAGTCGGAGATGGCGAGGTTGAGCAGAAAGAAGTTGTTCTGGGTGCGGAGGCTCGAGTCGGCCACGAAGGCGAGCATGACCAGCGCGTTGCCGAGCACCGTGGCCACGATAAGCAGCGCCATGAGCGCGGCCA